CGCAGGCTCAGGCAATTCACTCATCTCAGCCTCCCAAAGGCGCGGGTTACAGGCTGAGCCACCGAGCCCAGCGAGAAAGGTTTTTTAATAGACAATAGCCGTGCAGGCAGAGAGTAATGCCTTGGGTAGACTTATATCCTGTTACTTCTAATGGCCTTAAAAGTATGTGCCTGACTTTGACCTTCCAGGGCCTTTTTTTTTGAGAGATCTGCTCTGTCACCCAGGTTGGAATGCAGCGGTGTGATCATAGCTCACTGCAGCCTTGAACTCCTGGGCAAAAAAACAATCCTCCCCAAAAACAATCCTCTTGCCTCAGCCTCCTGAGTAGCTGGGACTAAAAGTGTGTGCCACCACACCTGGCTAATTTTGGGGGCTTTTAAGGGGCCAGATATTCACCATCAACAACAGGCTCTATAAGAAGACTGGGGGTGGGGGTGGGAAAAGGAGGTTTCCTCTGCCTCAAACAGCAAGGGCACTCAAGATGACCCAAATGTTTATGGACACGGGTAGCACAAGTTTGTATTCCCGATGTGGGATGTGCATCCCATTCAAGATGGGGGAGGGTGTACCCGCCCCCACATGCCCCTCACTTGGGCTTTATGATGGGACCCTAAGCCACACCCAGGGCAGGGCTCCCTCATTCCCACCACCTGGCATTTGGCCCTCATCACTGAACACAGAAATCGTTTGGACATTCCAAAGTGACTAGACTATTCAAATAAAAACAAAACAGGAGACAAATGAAGAGTTTGTGAGAGAGAGAGAGAGATGGCGCTTATCGGAGCAAACCGATGCAGGACAGGGAGGAAGAGAGAGCAAGGAGAGAAACAAATACGTGTGACTTACGTGAGTACATAATTGACACTCACGATGCAGTGGGGCCGGGACGAGCGGCTGTTGTGCACCACGGTGGCGTAGCTCTGCACCCACACCCAGCCGCCCCGCTTGGACAGGAGCCGGTAGTACTTGGTGGTGACCTGGCCCTTCACCAGCACTGCAAGCACAAGGTGACATGAGTCCTGGGACACCTCGCAAGCCCCGCCTCTGGGGATGCTGCCCCCGCCAGTGACCAACATTCCCAGTTCTGCACCTAACAGGGCCAAGGACACCTCTGAGCACGTACTTGACAAAGGGAGTGAGCTTTCTCCACAGGAGGCACGTACACACACACACACACACACACACACACACACACACACACACACACACACGAGAATTTCCCCTATAACTTCAAGGCGTCCCTCTCTTTAAGAACTCTAATTTAACAGTCATTGCTTTCATTGGGGGAAACAGCCCCCAAGCGGCGTTGGTACCTGGTGGAGTGATAAAATTGGATCTGCTTTTGAGTTTCCAAAATGCCATAATTATGCTATAATCCCCAAGTCCCTAATGGACAGAGGGAGTGCGTGATGTAGTTATTTAAACAAAATAGTATGGTAAGTGCATTCGCCCAAGTGTGAAGCTGTTGCTGATGCTTTGGTTCACCAGAACATGCATGTATTCACTGCAAAGCTGAGTGTTACCCTTTTGCCGTTTATATTTTCTTCCCATTAACCCATTTTCCTTGGGCCCATTAATTTCCTATGTTGCTCGTGTAGGAAGGCCCTCTCTTGGCTACATAGTTCCTGAAAATGGGGCCTAAGGGCCCATCTTCCATGCATGGGCGCAAACACCAGGCTGCCGAGCAGCAAACCCGGAGCCTCAGTGCATCCATAAACCACCATTCCACCTCACAGCCTTCGAGGAGGCAGTTGGGGGAGGCTGGGGAGGAAAAGTGCCAGCACCTGCAGGTGGGCAGTGGCGAGGAGAAAGTAGCAATAACCTCCAGGCTAGTGAAAGTCGAGAAAGAAGCCCCTGGATGCCCATGTCCCCAGCTCCAGGACGTCCCGGCTTCTCAGGGCAGGGACTACAGTCTGGGACTGTAGTTGCTGGCGCTGGAGGGAACCCCAGGGGCTCGTATGCAAGAAAAATTCAGCATTCCTTCTGTACCACAAAGTAAAGTCTCCAGTCTCCGCCCAGACACTCCCTGGGCTCTCCTTTGCCTGTCATGGCTTCTTTTCACCTTACAGATGTTATCATCCACATCAAAATATTTTGGTGCAGAAAAAAAATGCTGCAAATATCATAGTCGAGGTATTCACCTTAATATATAAAGAGTTAATACAGATTAATAAAGCACTAAAACCCTAAAGTAATGTGGGGAACAGACATGAACAAGTAATTCACAACGAATAAATAATAAATGGGCAAAATAATGAACAAATGCTCATTTAGCTCAAAAGTAGGCACCAGCCATCAAATCAGCAGCCATTAAAATAGAAACAAGCTGGGCGCAGTGGCTCACATTTGTAATCCCAGCACCTTGGAAGGCTGAGGCAAGAGGCTTGCCTGAGACCACAGGTTCGAGACCAGCCTGGGCAACATAGCAAGACTTCATCTCTACAATAAATCAAGAAAATTAGCTGGGCGTGGTGGCACACCCCCCTAGTTCCGGCTACTTGGAAGGCTGAAGCGGAAGGATCGCCTGAGCCCAAAAGGTTGAGGCTGTGGTGGCCATGAATGTGCCACTGCACTCCAGCCTGGGTAACAGAATGAGACTCCAACTCAGAAAAAAACTAGAAACAAATATTACAAGATCCCCTTTCCATGGAATGTCCGGAATAGGTAAATCCACAGAGACAGAAAGCAGATGAGGGGTTTGTCAGGGCCTAGAGTTGGGGAGGACTGGGGACGATGGAAATGTCCAGGAATTAGATGATGGCGAGAGTTGCGCAACACTGAGAATAGATGAAAAACTGCTGAAAATGGTTAAAAGGGTGAATTTTATATCACATGAATTTTATCTTTAAAAAAAAGAGGTAATACCAGCTAATCTATGGGAGAAGGATTTTCTTTCTTTCTTTCTTTCTTTCTTTTTTTTTTTTTTTTTTTTTGAGTTGGAGTCTCACTCGGTCGCCCAGACTGGAGTGCAGTGGCCGCTCCCAGCCAGTGCAGCCTCGACCTGCTGGGCTCCGGCGATCCTTCCGCCTCAGCCTTCCAAGTAGCCGGAATTACAGGCGCACCTACCACACCCGGCTGATTTTTTTATTTTTTGTAGAAATGAGGTCTCGCTGCCCAGGTGGGTCTCGAACCCACGGGCTCAGGCAATTCACTCACCTCAGCCTCCCAAAGGCGCGGGATTACAGGCTGAGTCACCGAGCCCGGCTGGGAGAAGGATTTTCATGTGTGATGAAAGCATAAATCAATGTGACACTTCTGGAAAACACTCATAGCTCATGCCTGTTGACACTTCCAGGGATTGATGCTATGGAAATTACAAACAATGCAAACGCTGGCTTATGTACAGAGAGTCACTGAAGGTTTACCTAAAATTCAGGAAAAAGGGGTGCAGACAGACTCACCTGTGCAACAACAGGGACAAGAGGAAATAAATTGTGGCACACTATGCAACCATTAAAATGATAATTGGCCAGGAATGGTGGCTCACACCTGTAAACCCCAGCACATGAGAGGCTGAGGAGGGCTGATTACTTGAGTTCAGGAGTTCAGGACTAGCCTGGGCAACATAGCAAGACCTCGTCTCTACAAAATAATCAAAAAATTAGCTGGGCATAGTGGTGCATGCCTGTAGCCCATTAGTACTCAGGAGGTTGAGGCGGAAGGATCACCTGAGCCCAAGAGATCAAGGCTGCTGTGGGCACAGACCCCGACTCGATACAAATTAAAAAAAAAAAAGTAAAAGTCATGATTAGTAAGAATTTGTAATATAACGGGATATGTGAAGAAAAGATAAGATTTACGAATGCATAAAGTATAACCATAATTATGAAAAACTGGGCATATGTGCATCCACACATACCCCAACTCATTGTGGGATCTTGAACAAGCTACCAACCCCCCTGGGCTGAGTTTCCTCATTTGTCAAAAGAGAATAATCATAGTCCTCATAGCCTATGGTTGTTAGGAAGATTCGAGGATTCATGTGAAGTGTCAGCTTAGTGGCAGACAGGCCAGGCACAGTGGCTCACGCCTGTAATCCCAGCACACTGGGAGGCCAAGGCGGGAGGATGGCTTGAGTCCAGGAGTGCCAGACCAGACCAGTCTGGGCAACATAGCGAGACCTTGTCTCTTCAAAAAAATAAAAAAATTAGCCGGGCCTGGTGACTCATGCCCATAGTCTCAGCTACTCCAGAGGCTGAGGTGGGAGGATCTCCTGAGCCCATACATATTAACTGATTATCCAATTGAAAATGACAGATAATTTTCCTTCTCTTCTTCTTAGCTTTTCTTGATTTTCTAAGTATCCAACAAGGAGGAGGCTTGAATTTATAATGAGAATGAAAAGTCAGTTATTATTTTTTTTTTACATGAGAGAGCAGTTTGTGTGGAGTCAAGAAGCAGGAATACATTCACATCCAGCCCCACACCCCCTAGGGATGAAGCTGAGAACACGCACGGCAGTCCTGCTGCGTAACAACAGGGACAAGTGCACCCACCCCGGACAGTGCAGAGACCAGCTCTTCTCTGTCCAAGTTTAACATCCGCATCTCAACAGACTCCCTTGGCAGGACAAGATTCCTGCTGAAGAGCATAAGCAAAGGCAGGAGGAAAGAGGTAAGCTTTATAATGGTTCTTTTGGGGTTTGCTTTTTTTATTTTTTATTTTTTGAGTCAGAGTCTGTAGCTGGGACTACACAGGTACACACCACCACATCCAGCTAATTTAAAAATTTTTTTGTAGACACGAGGTCACACTATGTTGACAAGTCTGGTCTCAAACTCCTAGACTCAAGCAATCCTTCCACTCTGGCCTTCCAAAATGCCAAGATTACAGGTATAAACTCCGGTGTCTGGTCTCCAAACGTTTTATATTAAGAAACACATTGCAGAGCAATTTTATTATCTCTGACCCTCCTCACCTCTGCTGTGATGAGACTTAGGTACAGAGACCACACATATACATATAATTTATTATTATTATTATTTTGCTTCTTTATGACCCAAACGTCAACATGTCGATCCAAGTTGAAATCTTAGCCACTTCGTCACAACCCTCGTTGGCTTGCTCCAGTTCTCTCTCCAGTGTGCCATCCTTAATTAACTGCCTAAGATGATCCCAGGCTAGACAGCTATGAAGGAAGACCCTTCTTAGGGTGGTGACAGACAGGGAAGAGATATCCTCAGGCCATAAGCTTCTGAGGGCAGAGGCCCTGCCCCAGGCCCCTCTGTGCTTTAGTGTTTCCAGCATCATGGTCTAAGGCAGTTCTGTATTCAAGGTGATCCATGCATAGGTGAAAACCAGTAGCCCTGGCTTCCAAGCCTCCTTTGGGAAAAATTCTAGTTCCATAAATATGCAATCCAGAAAATTATGTGGCCTTTCTAGTACCTTCAGAATGTCTCCTGCAGACACAGCTATGCCTGGGAGCCAACTCCCAGGAGGAAAGTGAACTTTGACCATGAGCATGACTTCTATTTCTATTTTGGGTTTTAAAGACTGAAAAGCACACCAGAAATGCCTGTCATGGGTTGAGTAGTGTCGCCTGGAAAGATACGTTTCACATCCTAACCCCCAGGGATATGCATGTGAGCTTATTTGGGTAAAGAGTCTTTGAGGATGTCATCATGTCAAGGATCCCAAGATGAAAGCATCCTGGGTCACCCAGATGGGCCCTAAATCCGATGACAAATGTTCTTACAAGAGACAGACACAGAGAAGAAGGCCATGTGAAGATGAAGACAGATTGGAGTGATGTGGCCACAAGCCAAGGAACACCTGGGAACACCAAAAACTGGAAGAGGCAAAGAAGGGTCCGTCTCCAGACCCTTGGAGGAAAATCAGACCTGCTGATGCCTTGGTTTCAGATTTCTGGCCTCCAGAACTGTGGGAGAATCCATTTTTGTTGTTTTAAGTCACCCAGGCTGGGTGCAGTGGCTCACACCTGTAATCCCAGCACTTCTCAGTGTCGTACGACAGGTGTAGGACACTAATATAGTCCCCATTGGGACCTGAATACCATGAAACTGAAGCAGCAGTCCCCAACCCTTTTGGCATCGGGACTGATTTTGTGGAAGACAATTTTTCCATGGGCCCAGGGAGGATGGTTTCAGGACGATTCAAGCGCATAACATGTATTGTGCACTTTATTTCTATTATCATTACATCGTAATATATAGTTAAATAATTATATAACTTACCATAGAGAAAAGAGGCACGGATGGAAGTGGTAAATCAAATAATGGGTGGGTCTTGCACAGACTAAAATAAGTGTCGGATTCTGACTTAAAGCCTGCAGCCAGATGCAGCTGTTCAACTGAAATATACCAAACCACTTGCTACTCACTGACAGGGTTTTGATATGAGTCTGCATGCAATTGATTTATGATGGTCTCTGTGCAGTCGGACCTCACTGCTAATGTTAATCTGTGTTTGCATCTGCTCCCCAGCACCAGCATCACTGCCTCAGCTCTACCTCAGATCATCAGGCATTAGATTCTTATGAGGAGCGTGCAACCCAGATCCCTCGCATGCGCAGTTCACGATAGGGTTTGTGCTCCGAGAAAACCTAATGCTGCTACTGATCTGACGGCAGACAGAGCTCAGGTGATAATGAGCGATGGGGAGCAGCTGTAAACACAGACGAAGCTTTGCTCACTCGCCTGCCACTCACTTCTTGCTGTGTAGCCTGGTTCCTAACAGGCCACGGACCGGTCTAGAAATTTTGTACAGAAGTAAGAACTTAGGTCTCTTGGATGAGGCTCTACAGAGCCAAACAGTGTCCAGACATAGCTCCCTGAGAGGAAGGTGGCAGCTGTTGGCACCAAGTCAGGCATGAAGACAGAACTGGAGAATGTGGCGGTTAGGCTTCCCTCAGCCTCATAGAGCAGGGCTTGGGTGTGAGGACACGCCTTTTGGCCAGCAGGGACCCCCAGAGAGAGGTGTGGCCCATGTGAAAAGATGGCAGACAGGTCTGGGAAATGAGGAGAAACTTGCCAAGGGGTAGAACAGAGAACAACTTCACACAGCTCCAGTGGAGGCCCAGAAGGGAGGAAGCTGAGGACAGGTTGAGAAGAGACCAACCTTGCTCTGGCTGGGCCACTTCCAAATGCCTCACCTGCTCTCCTCCCAAGGTCTTTCTTTGGCAGAACCCACTCTGACCCCTTGGAGGGTAAGCTAGGGAATTAACACTCCCCTGAGAATCGCCATTGACCAGTGACTGACCGGGATTGGTGTATAAATACCTCAGTTCACTCTCCCCTCTGCTGGATGACTCTGAGGTGGGGACTTGCACTGGCTCCAGTGTCCCCTGGGTTGAGTGCTAGCCTCCCAGGGCCATCGCCAATGGACAATACCCCTTATGTCTCCCCTTCCCAGGCTCACTCCTCACTCCCTGACCTGTGTCCAGTCACCAGGCTCAGTGGCAGCTGGAGTTTAAGGAACTTCACAGATGCCACCTAACCCTGGGCATGGAGAGACATGAAAAGTCACCTCCAGAGGCCATGCTCTGCTATGACTGTCTTCCTTCACTTTGGTGGAGAGTTCTAGCTTTGGAGAGGAACGTGATGTTCCCACTGAATGCTCTGAGGGGAGGCCACTAGCCAGGTCAACACTGGGAACTGAGACATGTGTTCCGGAAGACTGATTCTCACCTCCAGGCTAGGGTAAGAACCTCGGCTAAGAACCCACCATCCTCTGAGACTGACCCTGGCTGCCACTCCCTCTCAGAGCTACCAGAGGGGAGACTAAGGCAGATGCAGGGGCTCATTCATGGTCTTGGGTGGACCCCGTCCTAGCTGGGGTGCATTCTGTCCCCCTTGTCCTCTGCCACAGCCAAGGTTAGAGTCACAGAACAGTAGCAATCACTGCCAGTCTTGCTATTTTCTGTTTTCTTTGATTTACCAATTCTGGCCCATCTGGAAAAGAAAGATGTTCTCTGCCCAATTTCTAAACACACCCGCCTTGTCTGTGTGTCTTTTGGAAGGCTTGTGTGCCTTCCTTCTTAAGAGTTCCCTTGGACACCTGCTGTATCTGGGAATGACACCCTTCCAGTGAGATAAAGTGGGTCTGTCCTGTGAATCGCAGGAGACCTCGCAGCTAGAATTCCCTTGTGGGTCTGGTAAGCACCATGCACACTCGGGGAGCTTGGGGCCCCATAGAACCACAACCAGCCCGCAGCTCCAGCATGAAGACCGACCATGTGTGGAGACCACTGAAGGCTGGAGCCCAATGGACTCAGATGCTGCCCTTGTGTGAGTGGCCGCTGAGCCTCGCCTTGCTCACCTGGGGAGTGGACACAAGAGGCATGCAGCTCCCCAAATGGCCTCCTGGTAAGAACTGGTAAGTAAAAAGTGTGTGTCCGTTTCAGGGACAGAGGAGCCATTTGACAGTATCACCGTAGCCTTCACTACCTTTCCAAGCACAAATTCTATTCCTTCCCCTGAAAAAAAAAGAAAATTCCCTACCTCCTTCATCAGCCAGGTGTGTGAGATGAGAAAAGTGGTATTTATTATTTACTTGAGACAGGATCTTGCTCTGTCACCCAGATTGAAGTGGTGCAGTGGTTAGATTATAGCTCACTGCAGCCTCAAACTCCTGGCCCTAAGTGATCCTCCTACCTCAGCCTCCAGCGTAGCTGGGACTACAAGTGTGAGCCACCATGCCCAGCTAATTTTAAAAAAAAAATGTTTTTTACCCCACATCTCTATAATAAAATTAAAAATAATTTTTAAAATTAAATTTTTTTTTTTTATTTTAGGAGAGACGGGGTCTTGTTGTATTGTATTGTCCAGGCTGGAGAAATGATATTTAAAATGAAGACTTTTAACTCTATAAGTTTTCTTTCTCTGTGTTTTATTTCCCACCCTTCAACCAAGCTTCTTGTAATTCAAGAGTTTGTTTTAAACTCCCCAGCATGCTCCTGCCTCTGTGGAAGGGGGCTCTGGAACCCCCTGGGCTGGATTTTCCCTCAGAATAGCCGCGACACGTCTCCACCAATAGTAGCAAGGGTAGCCTGTGGAAGTGTGAGCCCTCACTTTCAATCTGTTAGTTCCACTGTCCTCCTTCCAGATGGTTCTGTGGCACACATCACAGCTCCATGCCCTCGAAGCAGAGGCCTCTCCCATTTCCCAGCTGCTCATTCATACTACTTCAGTGCACATGTCCCCTTTCCATCCCTCTCTTTATACTTGCCTGTTCGGGTCTCCCAAATAGCCAAGTCTAGAATGGACACATCCTATCTGGTTTGCACCAGAAACATTTCTAGCTCCCAACATCAATGACACTGACCCACAGTAGCATCCAAACTCTAAGCAGTTGCTTCCCTACCACGCGTGGCCTCCTAGGACAAGGATGTGTATATGAGGTCATGATTTGGTCATTTCAAAAAAAAAGAAAAAGGTTGGTCACAACTTGAAGTCTCCATGGAGACCAGGGAACAAGGAAGAAGCCATCAAAGTCTTCAAAACCAAAAATCCCGGTTGTTACTGATCTCTGCCGGGAATGACTTGGGGAGACGAAAGTAACAGTGACTCCCTAGACCCTGTCGTGGGTCCCAGCCTGCACTGAATGTCCAGGCACACAACACAGCTGCGGGGAAATCAGTCTGTGGACCTACCGTCCACCCCCGCCACCCCACCAGCAGCTGGTCCTCTAATGTCCCTTAGCTAACACAAAGCAAAGCAAGAGCAGAGGGCATGCCATCTGGGCCACGCTGCAGAAGACCCGGCCCCTCCAACCATCTGTACCCCATTAAGAAGCACCCCCAGACCAGCCATTGGCATGGCAGGGCTGGCCAGCAGAAGGATGAGGTATTCCACTCCATCCAAATTATTCTCTGCCTCAGCTTGGATTCTAAAAGAAAAGTGTCACTTCTTTAACCACTTCAGTAATGAGTGTACACCGAACCCAGATGTGCCGGAGCTGGCTTTGTGGGCAGATCAAGTCAGTTTTGTTTGCTCTTTCCAAGCTAATGCCTCCCATTGTGGGATGGTGGCCTCCCCTGGGCTTCCTCACCAGGTGGGGTACAATAGTCAGAGGCCAGACTCTGCGTGGGTTTGGCTCCCAGCTCTGCACCTCCCTGCTGTGTGACTGTGGCAAGTGGCTTAACCTCTCTGGACCTCAACATTCTCAACAGTAAAATGGGGACCATGGCCATGAGCATCTCCCTCACTGGATTGGTCACTTATTTAATCACTTAAACCACAGCCTGACAGTAGTGAGGTCTCCGTATGTATCAGTTCTTCCAAGGCTGCTACTGTTACTTGAAACTGGTGACTAGATATCACAGGAAAGTTTAGGTTCCAAATCTACAATCTAGAATCCCGGTGACTTTCGAGCCATCCCACACCTGCTAGTTTCCCGGAAGGGTGACCTCAGATGCTTGAGAACTGGCACTGGGGAGCTAGACTTCAGGGGTGGAGAAAGTTCTGTTTGAGGTTTGAGATGCGCATGAACACCATGGACGATTACTGCACCAAACCAAAGGGACACGATCCCCCCACCCTATCCTCAGTGTCGCTTCCACTAGCTGGCTCCCATGCTGGGGTCAGGAGTGCTACTCACGGAGGTGGTGTGCATAGCGGAGGGGGAACACATCGCAGCCATGCACGTGGTGGTACAGGGTCTTCTCGATCAGGTCCTGCGGCTCGTACCCCGTCAGCTCGGTGACCCTGGGGGAGGACGACGGCTCGGTGAGTTTCCCTACACCGCAGATTGCCTTTCATTTAAACTAATATTGGTTTTGCCAACTAATCAAGTGCTAAAAGGCTCAGGGGGAAAATGTTGATTTTGGAAACTGAGAATGATCTTTTTTACAAGAAGAAAGTCTTTGAACTCTAGCCCAGTGCAGGTTGTAGCGCTATTCATGAGCAGGAATGTTCTTCTGAAACTACTGGCTACAAGGATGTTTGGGATGGCTAAAAATTGTAGCCTTTTTCAAGGTTAAGCTTATCTGAGAATGTTTAAGAGTGAACTTTGATACTGATATTAGCAGAAAGCTGCTACGGTGAGAAAGAACCATTCTTTGGGGGTTTTGAAGAATGGTCCACTGTGAATCTTTTTTTATAAATTGTGGTAAAATATTCATAACATGAAATTTACCATTGTAGTCATTTTTTTCCAGTCAAGGTCTCACTGTTGCCCAGGTTAGAGTACAGTGGCATGATCATGGCTCACTGCAGCCTCAAATTCCTGGGCTCAGATGGTCCTCCCGCTTCAGCTTCCTGAGTTGCTGTGACTACAGGCGCACACCACTGTGCTCGGCTAATTTTTTGCCTTGGCGTCCCAAAGTGCTGGGATTACAGGCATGAGCCACTGCTCTCTGCCCTGTATCTTTTTTTCTTTTTTTGAGTTGAAGTCTCACTCTGTCACCCAGGCTATAGTATAGTGGCATGCTCATAGTCACCACAGCCACCACCTGCTGGGCTTAGGCAATCCTTCCACCTCAACCTTCCAAGTAGCTGGAACTACTGGTGTGCGCCACCACGCCTGGCTAATTTTTTGGTTTATTGTAGAGATGATGTCTCACTAAGTTGCTCAGGCTGGTCTTGAACCCCTGGGTTCGGGCAATCCTCTCGCCTCGGCCTCCCAAAGTGTTGGGATTTACAGGCGTGAGCCACTACTACTGGCTCTATAGCCATTTTTAAGTGTACAATTCAATGGCAGTAAGTACACTCACTTTGTTGTGTAACCATCACCACTGTCCCTTTCCATTACCCTAGCTCTGTCTCCATTAAACATGAACTCCCCATTCCCACCCACCCCAGCCTGTGGTAACCCCTATTCTTCTTTCTGTCTCTGTGGATGTGTCTCTTCTAGATGTTTCAGATAAGTGGAATCCCACAATCTATGGCTTTTTATGTCTGGCTTCTTTCACTTAGCATAGAGACTTTAAGGTTCGTCCATGTTGTAGCATGTGTCAGAACATCCGTCCTTCTTTGGGCTGAATCATATTCTGTTTTCTGTACATATCACACTCTGTTTACTCATTCCTCTGTTGATGGACTCTTGGGTTGTTTCTTCATCTTGGCTATTGCGTGTGTGAGTATTTAAATCTCCATTCCACACCAGGCACTGTTCATTGGCACAGTTGGTCTCAAGATGCTGCAGTTGGGCGATTCCTACTGATGGGAATTACAGGATAACTAGAGACCTTTAAGCCTCGTCTCAGTGGAGGATTATCTCAGACCCCCCAGAAATGAGTATAACGACCCAAGATATTGTGACTAGAAGGAGAGCCTTAAGCTCTCTGGAGAAAAGGCAGCATTTTCCCAGCGCTTCTATGACACGGCCCCTCTGTCTTCTCATCAGGCCCAGTCATATTAATTTCCCACTCAGCCCTTTGAAGAAAAGTGGCTCTTGGCATTCAAGACCACATCCTCACTCACTTTGGGACTGCTCTGTCTGTAGGTGAAAATTGTACGAGGCCACCGTATGGGCTCCCAGGCTTCGGACCACTGGGAACCATGCCCTTGGAAGAGGTGATCCTAAACGTCTTGGTGACAGATATCCAAGAACAGATGAAAGAGAGGGACAAGAGGGGATCCCAAAGGAGGTGAGGCTATGTGCACAGTCAGTCCTGGGGGCTGGGCGAGGTGGGGGGGAGCCGAGGAAGGCTAGGGCTGGGGCCCTGCTTGCCGGGATAGGAGACGTTGGCTGTAAATTAAACCGGGAAACTTGAGCTCACTTTCATTCCCTCGCCCGCTTCCCTTTCTGTTGAGATCTGCTCAGGCTTTGGGTCGTAAATCTCTGAGAGCCTCAAGTTTCCCTGGAATCGCTCACTATGTGGTGTACACATCTCCCTGGCGATCTCCAGGGTGGGAAGGAGACAGGGCTGGAGGTGGGGCACAGGGGCCCTCGCACGTCCAGAGCCATCCAGGGCCCAAGGGATGTGTCTGAGGGCCACCTAGAACTTCAAGCCCCATTGGAGTCTAACTCTGTGTGGCAAGAAAATTGAGCCGTCTAGCTTCCCCCAGAAAGAAAACCAGCCATCTCAACAGCATGGGGATGAAAGAGGCCTCCCAGACCCTTCAGATGCAAAGTTACAGAGCAATGGCCCCGAACGTGTAAATGAATCAGAAACACATGTATTAAGTTTCTCATCAAAGTACACACGGGCTTTAAAAATTAAAGGGAAATGGGAAGGTTTGGCAGGATGCCCTCTCGTTTTTTTCCCCAAACCTCTAGTGTCTGAAGACCTGTCAGAGGGATCTGCCAAACCCCAAACATCGCTGTGTTCACCCATCCTTAGCAAAAGCATCAGCTACAGTTTCAAAGTGAAATACCACAAAACCCCTATGAACCGAATTTCAGGTTATGCTGAGTTCAGTTGTGTCTGGGATTACGCCGGGTGGGGTGCCAGACGGGCCCACCGCCCTCACCGCTGTGACTTGGGACTGCTGGGCCCCGGGCCGAGCCCTTGCCTGGCTCCTGGGGTTTGGACACAGAAGCAACCTCTCCCGCCCCGCCTGGCCACTCTGCTGTCCTCTCAGTACTGGGCTGGCCCAGGCCCGCCCCCCTAGTCCCAGACCAACCACAATGACAGGGAAGGATTCTCCAGCCCTCTTCTGACCCCTTGCAGCCTCTTCCACATGCCTAAAGCTCAGGAAAGGCCTCACTCAGGGCTTTGCAGAAGCTTCCTGATACTTGGCGGGAAGAACCACAGGGTGCCGGGAGAGATGGGAAGTCTCCTTCAAGATTACCACCCTTCTTTTCCACTCACTTCAGGGGTGCAGAATCTGCACACCCTGCGGTTCAGGAATCTCCACGGGTGCCACAAAGTTCAGTCTAGCTTTCAGGGCACTCTGGCTTCCAAGCTAACCTCCCTGCACCTTGCTGCATTTCCAAGCTGTGTGGGTTGAACAACTTGAAAAGACCTCAAGACCCTCCTCTGGGAAGATTCCCTTCCGGATAATTCATTGGGTCTTGGGGGTTTTCCTAGGATAGTCAGAGAAAAACTAGGAGACAAAACAAGGGAGAAACCAGTCCCTTGGACAACTGGGACTCCTTCCAGCCTCCACTCAGAAGTGACCTCTGGGTCGGGAAAGCAGGGCCCCGTCCCCAGACACCCTGGCGGAAGCAGCTCACACAGCCTCTCCCCACCGGCCCTTCCCCCTACAGGAAACAGTATTTGTGGGCATTCGGCCATCCCCAGAGGTGCTGGAGCTTTCCCCAAAGAGTTTTGTGTACTCTCTGGTTGGAGTCTCCGGAAAAGTTATGGTGACCCACTCCTGTCATTTCTCTGCCTCAGAAAGGTTCTGAGGTGCGTCCACAAGGGCTAAACCAGTTCGTACCTTCGCTTCTCACCACTAACCAGGTAGATTTGTTTTCTTTCAATAAAGCATCAATAAATGGCTAAAAAGGGCTTGGTGTGGTGGCTCACACCTGTAATCCCAGCACTTTGGGAGACCAAGATGAGAGGATTGCTGGAGTCCAGGAGTTTGAGACTAGCCTGGGCAGCATAGTGAGACCTCATCTCTATAAAAAAAAATTTTTTTTTTTTTTTTGAGTTGGAGTCTCACTCTGTCATCCAGACTGGAGTGCAGTGGCACACTCCTGGCCACCGCAGCCTTGATATGCCAGGCTCCGGTGATCCTTTCGCTTCAGCCTTCCAAGTAGCTGGAACTACAGGCATGTGCTACCACGTCCGGATAATATTAAAAAATTTTTAAAAATCAGCCAGGTGTGGTGGTACGCATCTGTAGTCCCAGCTCCTCAAGGAGGCTGAGGCAGAAGAATCACCTGAGCCCAAGAAGTCAAGCCTGTAGTGAGCTGTGAGTATACTGCACTCCAGCCTGGGCAACAGAGTGAGATTCTGACATAAACACATACATACGTACATACATACATACATTGTCCATATTAAAATAAAATATTTATTTTAAAATTGTTAAAATTATAAATTTTATATGATGTGTATTTTGCCACAATTTAAAGAAGAAAACAATTAACCCTAGCTTTGCAACAAATAGAAAATGAAGTGTGTTTATCTTTTTTCCCCCAGAAAGCCCAGCTGCACACCCCAAGTCAGGGATGGCATCAACAGCCAAATGGCCTTGCAGGTAAATAAGACTTCTCTGTTTCTAAACCTTCATGTCTGTTATATAATTTCAACTTTCTTAGCAGCCCAGTAGGCAGCAAGGGGTTGGGCATTTTATACATAAGAACACGGAAGAGGCCCAGCCAGTGTGAGGCTTCATCACATATGAGGGCTGTGGTGGTTCCACAGTGTAGATATGTCTTGAAACATCGCACCGGCTGGGCATGGTGGCTCACGTCTATAATCCCAGCACTTTGGGAGGTTGAGGTGAGAGGATTACCTGAGTCCACGGGCTTGAGACCAGTCTGGGCAACTTGGTGAGACCTTATCTCTACAATGAATCAAAAAATTAGCTGGGCGTGGTGGCACGTGCCTGTAGAATTTTTTTCTTTTTTTTTTTTAAGAGTCAAGGACTGGCTCTGTCACCCAGGCTGGTGTGTGGTGGCATAATCATGGCTCGCCGCAGCCTTGACCTCCTGGGCTCAGGCAATCCTTCTGCCTAAGCCTCCCGAGTAACTGGAACTACAGGTGTGTGCCACCATGTCCAGCTGATTTTTTTAATCTTTTGTAGAGACGAGGTCTCTCTATGTTGCCCAGGCTGGTCTTGAACTCCTGGGCTCAAGCAACCCTCCTGCCTCGGCCTTCCAAAGTGCTGGGATTACAGCCAAAATACTGTGCCCAGCCAAAAAAACCAAATCAAATTAAATAAACAACAACGACAAAAAACTTGCGAGGACTGCAGCCTGCCCAGGGGAGGTCCCCACCACTCCAGCACAGACCTGAGGGCAGCCTCCCCCAAGGCCCAGGGAAACGACACTCATGCCTCTGCCTCGTTCAGTCTTCCTTCTTCCAGCCTAGGCAGACAGGGCACTGGCTGAGCTGGGGTCAGGGCAACCCCAGGGATGGCAACCTCTCTGCTCCCAGCCTTAGCTCTGCAGTGGCTTCCTGCAGTTAGGAAACCCTGCTCGCGTGGCAAACTGATTGTTCTGAAGTCCAACCCACTAACATCCCGGGTCTTCAAAAAAGGCTAACTTGTACCCAAAACATATATTTCCATTTCAAACTCTAGTGAAATGAGTCACATATAAACACATAAATTAAATAAAGCCTGACATTCATTTTTTCAGTTCATGATGGGGTTTCACTAAATCCTGCCTATTTAATGCGCATTTTCTTCCTTATTATAATCTGGCCTAACTCTGTAGCTTTCAGGGGCCCGTTTCCACCACCGGTATCTTCTAGAACACCACTACAGCAGCGGCAGGTGCCGAGCTCACCTGGAGTCCAGGAATATTAGCTTCAGGTCGAGGCTGGCCCTGAACATGAACATGTTGCTGTGCAGCTTGATCTCGGTGATGGCGCTGGGCGGCAGCGACTGGCCCACGGCCACCAGCCCCACGATCTGGTAGCAGGAATCGTACAGGGACATGTCCAGCATATACTGCCTTATCTTCAGGTAACCGCTGCAGTGGATGACCTGGAGGAGTAGAGGGCAGGGTCAGCCACCACCACCTGGGCTTGGGCTGGAGCCCACCCCTCCTGGCTCATTTTCTGGAAGGTGTTGGAATATCTCCCAGTTCAGCCTCTGCTTAGCTGTGCAGCTTGTATGATGACAGGCATCAGGTGCATTGCTCAGGAGAAATAGAGAGCTGGGCTTCTTTCTTAGGAAACAATATCATAATAAAATATAAGTGTTGTCTGATCCAGTTGACCGTCCTACAAGTGACTCCACAAATTGGGATCTGTACTATACAATTATCCAGAATTAGCCCATTGCCAGGTTGTGATAACACAAGCAAGGCATTTTGAGGAACTAGCCATCTGTTCTACCATGCTTGCTTCAATAACTGTGATGCCCACCACCTTCCTGTGGGATTGACCTTGACATTTAGGTCACTTGACATGCTATGTCATTCCCGTACGCCAGGAATTCTTTCAGTATAATTTATTAAAGTCTCCGTTTTTTTATTATTATTATTATTATTATTATAGACAGGGCTTGCTCCATCGCCCAGGCTAGAGTGCAGTGGTATATTTCTGGCTCACTGCAGCCTCAACCTTCCTTGGCTCAGGTGATCCTTCTGCCTCAGCCTCCCGAGTAGCTGGGACTACAGGTGCACTCCACCACACCCAGCAATGTTTTTTGGTAGAAACAAGATCTTGTGATGTTACCCAGGCCAGTCTCGAAACCCTGGGTTCGTGTAATCCTGCCTCAGCCTCCTGAAGTGCTGGGATTACAGGTGTGAGCCACCATGCCCAGTGGAATTTTTCAGTCTTCATTTTAATGTACTTTATTTACTTTATTTGTAAGACTTTATATCAAGACATCATTCCTTCGTAATCAGTGAGAGTGACAGTGAGAAGCACTTCCTGCTATAGCAGAAGCCACGCAGGAAGAAGGCACACTGTGGCAATATCGAACAGAAACATCTGGACCGCTCAAACCTCACTATCCGAGGCACCTATTCGAGTTACAGGCGGTAAAGTCTTCATAGGATCATAATCATGACAGTGGTAATGAACAGCTAAAACCTTGCCCTTTAACTCTCTCTTCCAGTGGACACTGGGGGACTCTAAAAGGAGACAGGTAGGGAGGGGGGTTAGGGCTGAGAAGTACCTATCAGGCACAGTGTTCACTATCTGGGGAATGGGGACCCTAAGACTCAATCCCCAACAGTATAAAACGTGTTCATGAACAAACATGCACTCGTATCCCCAGAATCTAAACATCACAAACAAAACAAGAAAACAATCTCTTTAAAAACCCTTCCTCCAGGACTCCTAAATGCACCCAGTCTTTAGACTGGAAGAAATCCGAAGATCCTTCTAGTCTATTCTCCCATTTTACTGATGAGGATCCTGAGAACGAAATAGATAAGATCAGACAGTGGGACAGTTAATTAGTAGCAGAAACGAGTCACGACCCAAGTCTCCTGAAGAATGGCTGCTGGGTACAGGGTGCTGAGGCTCCCATCCTGACCCAAGAGGCTTAGAATCTAAGACAGCAAATAAGAAACAATGACAACAGAGTGAGGTAACTGTCAAAGAGAAGAGCTCAGAGTGAGGTTCGAGGAGGAGGCTGGGGAGGAGCCGAGGGGAGGCAGACCCTGGGCGGGAGGGGGCTGAGTGGGGCATTCCAGAAAAAGAGGACAAAAGGTACCAAGGCAACACAGCCTCTCACCCTATCCTCCCTCCTTTCTAAGGGGCAAATACTTCTGGCAGAAGGTTCCCAGCAGCCTCCAGCTGCAGAGTGCTGGGTTATGACGTCTGTCCTCTGTCCTCTAAGGCAGGCTAAGCCTCCCGGGGAGGAGGGTGAGGAGCCCGGAGAGGGGAAAAGGATCGAGGGGCTCAGCACAGACTTCCCCCAACCAACCCTCCCGCGGGAGCAGCTGACTCTCACACTGAGGCACAATACTGCCAGCCGGCTCTGATAGGCAACCTACTCCCAGATTCTAGAATTAACCACAGCAAGCAGCGATGTCTGCCAGAGAAATGCAGCCAGAGGAGCGTGGGCTGGGCTCAGAGTCCTGGCTCGACTGCTTGGCCTGGCTGCTCCTTCTGCTGTAATGTCCCCCTCCCAGCTTTTGCCTGTAAAATGGGGCCAACAAAACTCAGGTCAAAGGGCTGGTGCAGCTCTTAACGGGAAGGACTACACGAGCTGCTGCACACGAAAGCTCTACTTGGTACCTTGGAATGGGCTCTATTATTACTGTCGTGAACACCATCATCATTAGCACTGGATTTGCTAGAACATTCTGAAGGGAGAGCGAGGTCTGTGCTCTGAATACTCACTGCTGGCCTAGACTTTGCCCTGGAATGCAGATTCTCGACAAACTCTAGGGACAGAGCCAAGGTAAAATCAACTCTAAGCCATGTTGATTCCTGGTCTTAAGTGATGAACTCCAGCCAGCCTGAAACATCCTTTTAAAAGCCAGCTCTTGCTGGGCATGGTGGCTCATGCCTGTAATCCCAGCACTTTGGGAGGCTGAGGCAGGAGGATTACTTGAGCCCAGGAGTTCGAGACTGGCCTCGGCAACATAGCGAGACCTTGTCTCTACAAAGAATAAAACATTAGTTGGATGTGGTGGGGTGCATGCCTGTAGACCCAGTCACTTGGGAGGCTGAGATGGAAGGATTACCTGAGCCCAGGAGGTCGAGGCTGCAGTGAGCTATGATCGTGCCACTGCCCTCCAATCTGGGTGACAGAATGAGACACAAACTCAAAAACAAATAAAAATAAAATGCCAACTCTCACACTTGCCTCCTATGCAGCCGTGCGCCACATTTCTAGAGAGTTCTACATTAGTAGGGTGGCATGTTTGGGTTCCCATGCCTTTCTTTGTGCAGATAGATGTTCTTGAGTGCGAAGCAAAATATAAAGCACACGGTAAAGACCCACTGCCACCTCCTCCCCCCACCCATGGCCCAGCATACCTTGTATCCACTGCAGGTCAGGCCCGCGTTTCTTTTCGCCAAGACACACTTCATTCGAAGGAAGAATGACCTCTCTATCTCATATTCTGCAAGCAGGAGTGAGGTTAAGTTGGCAACTGTCTCACCAAGCTTCTTCCCCGACTTTCTCCCAACATCATCAGCACATTCTCAGGGCCAGGCCCCGAGCCAGAGGCCTGGCTGTGTGTGTTTAGTCCTTGGTCCAGAAAGCTTCTGCTGGGACGTGGCTGAGACGTGGGTGGGGAGGCGAGAGCCCGGCCCTCCTGGTATGGCTTCCTTGGCTCCAAAAGAAGGCAGCCGAAATGATACCCACCTGGAGTCAGGGGGTGGGCACCACAGAGCTCCACTGGCCTTCACCTGCTTCTCCAGGCCATGGGGTGGCTTGGTGCCAGGATAACTGTCTTGGCCATCCCCAAGGCGGGTGTCCACAATACTGGGAAAACCCAGAAGCATATGACTTTCCTCAAGGTAGCAGATCCTGAATGAGACCATACTTGGTCAGATCAATGCTTTCACCCTCATTTTTAGCACTGGAAGGAACACCCTTATTAAGGGACACCAGCATTCTGAGACACAGGCAGAGAAGGGCCCACCACTCTGGGGGAGGATGAGGCCACTCCACTCTAAATACACAGCTATTTGGTGTAGGTTAATACTTGAATCTTTAAAGACAGGTCACCACTAGGAATGGAAGCAAAGTCTTCCACCTTCCCTGAGGCACTACCCTGTGGGAGCTCCAGGGTCCCTTCCTTCCCTAGTCGGAGAGGCTGCCATATTTTACCCACAATTCCTCCTGCAGCTGGCATCTGCTGGCAAGAGGCTTCCCTTAACATGACCGCCTGTCCGAACCCTTTTCAGATAAGCACGGAGGCCCAAAAGCTCAGGTCTAAAATACATCATCCTGTAATTAACTATCCCGTTTGGAGAGAGTCCATTTCTCCTATAGCATTAAACAATGGGGGTCAGTTAGAACACTGAAAATCAACTCTGCAAATAGGAACCTCGACTCCTGAACCCATCGGCAGGCATTGAAATGAGTTGGGGTGCAGCCCCAAGGCTCCCAGCTCTCATTGCTGCCCCTTGTGTCCTGTTGCTTCAGACTTGAAGCCCACAAAAATGAGGGTGAAAGGATCTCATGATACTCCCAAGACTCATTGGTTTTCATTTAAAAAATGCTTATTTGGAAACTATGACACAGGAAAGGTGAAATGAAATGAAAACTGATTCCCATGCAATTAACCCGCTCTGCAACTTCAAAAACGGAAACAACACGACGTTCTGAGCCACTCCAAGACTCCTGTTGTCTTTGTCCAGCTTTAAACAACCCCACAGTGAAATAATTCACTTCAGGTGCAAGGTTCTATCCTGTTCCTCATTTTGTTAGAAAAGACTTCTTCAGAGTTATTATTTACGTTAATGTACGCAGCCACATCATTTCCAAAGACGTAAAGATCACAGACTGTAGCTACAGCTAAGCTCCCTATCTCCTCTCAGAAACCAACAGGCCAGTCTCTCTCCTTGGTAAGGAATAATCAGACTCCAATGATCAGTTCTGGTGCTAGAACTTGGGGCCCACAGAGCTATATCTGCAGGGGAGCTTACAACCAAGTGTGCTAGTCTGTATTCCCTCTTCCTAGCTTCAGCATGACCCTTCCCAAAAGAGGACAATAAGAATACAACTCATTTTTTTCCTGCGGCTAGCTACCCCATTCTCATCATTCTTAAAGTTTCTTCTTTGGCATTTTGTACCATAGTCCAAAGCACACACAAGACACACTAGTCTACAGCCCTGTTGGCCTCACTGGACTGTTGGAGGGAGTTAAAAGGCCAAGGCCCCTGGAAAAAGTTCTCTATCTTCCCAGCACTCATCACCCTTGTAATTTAAGAAGTCATTTGCGTAATACCAGGGCTTCTTAACTGCTCTATGCCATGGCAAAACACCTACAGATCCCTATTCAGAATAATGTTTTTAGATAAATAAAATATATGAGATTACCCAAAAAAAGCAACTGTGTTGGACAACCGTTATCAAAATATTTAAACAATAATGATATGGATATAAATAGGTCTCATGATATTAATATCATGAGATATGATCACCTTGTTACTATAAAAATAACAAGATTCCATAGTAGGTCTCATAACTTCCCAAATGTTAAAGTAGCCATCATAAGCATAAGCAGTATGTTTAAATAGCCACAAAAACTTTATTTATTTATTTATGATTATTATTTTTTGAGTTGGAGTCTCACTCTGTCACCCAGACTGGAGTGCAGTGGCCGCTCCCGGCCACCGCAGCCTCGACCTGCTGGGCTCCAGCGATCCTTCCGCCTCAGCCTTCAGAGTAGCTGGAACTACAGGCGCGCGTTACCATGCCCCGCTCATTTTTGATTTATTGTAGAGATGAGGTGTCGCCAAGTTGCCCAGGTGGGTCTCGAACCTGTGGGCTCAGGCAATCCACTCACCTCAGCCTCCCAAAGACTCGGGATTACAGGCTGAGCCACCGAGCCCGGCTCACAAAAACTTTAATGTGATACAAAAACATCTGTGATTTCTGTTGTGGGCAAAGCTACCAGATCTGGTGATCCTAGGATAGTTTATCGATCGCCTATGATCATAAACAAAGGAAATGATAATTTTAACCAGAGATATAATTTTCCCCATGAAATTCCATGGAACCGTCCCACCCCCAGCCCCTGAATTCTATCCTTGGCCTCTTGGTTCAGAAGTAGTTCAGGTCTATACCCGTGGAGCTGCTACCCCTGAAATTCTGAACCAAGAACACATTAGGGAAACAGACTAGAACTACCTTTGCCTCCTACCCAGCACTTAACAGTCTTTGGCAGGTGAAGGAACTCAATAAATGTTGATTTAAAAGGCAGAGATATAAATGCAAATCCCCACTTGGTGGGTGCTGTTTGTTGAGAGACCTGAACTGGGCAGCCCTAGTCATACCCCAGCTCCTTGGCAAGCATGGGAAACAAAGCCCGTGGGTCACATTTAAGAACATCTTGTTTTCACTCTGGTTTATTTTCCTCTGGAGGAAATACCTTGCAGCAGGTGATGGTGCAGAGGCTGGTGGGCCGTGAGGACCGCGGTCATCTCATCGTGGTCGGAAGGATGGATGTACTCATAAATACTGTTGCCCGTGAGCTCCACCTGCCGTGGAAAGGAAGGGTCAGAAATGTCACCAGCCTCTCTGGGAATTGGCACGGGGGGAGGGGCAAAGTGTGTCACAGGTACACACCTTGACAGGGACAGGACTTTGAGCTCTGCTCACAGCCCACACCTTTGTCAAATGGAGAAACGTTTTTCTTTACTCAGCAGAGCTCTGAACTATTTCCCACACTTTTGCTGAGGCTTGAGCTTGGAGCCAAGAGAGTTTCAGCGGGAAGAACTGGAAAATGAGGGTGGAAAAGGTAGATTTTGGAAGTGGGGGGACTCTAAAGGCCTGACCAGCATCCTTTGTCAGACCCAAGCCAGGGCCCCATTCTGCCCTCACTTGGTGTCAGAGGGGACCGGGTGGCTAGGAGACTAGCTGTCATTTCCAGACTGTGCTCCTGGCAAGGGCCTTGTCCACTCAGTGGCCGACCAAGGGTACACCACCACACCTGAGGAGGACTCGAGCTCTGACAAAGGCCCTTTCTTCGTTAGCTCTGAACCGTGCCCTCAGACACTGCCAGGCCCCTCTCACATTGCCAGAAATGTGTCTGGCCTTCCCTGTCCATGATGACTGTGCTAATTCTGTGGCTCCAGCTCAGGGGTGTGGCCGGGTCTCTGTGTGACCTGAGGGAGGATCTGGGTTGGTCCAGATAGCCACATTATGTGCTGATTATTTCCTGGGGTTGTTGCCCCAACATTTAGGCACAACCCACAGAAAGAACACGTCTGTGTTGGACAGGACACGGCTTTGCAGGAATGCATGGCTTCTGCAAAACATCATAGCTGTGATTTTTACACAGAAGTCTCTGGTGGCCCAATTCCTGATCTGGAGAAACTTTCAAATGTTCTCCCAAACACAAGTACCAAGAAAGGAAAGGATACAGAATCTCACAACTTGGGCCCTCTCACCCACCTTAAGATGGGCAGTGGTAAAGAATGTTCTAGAAACCGCCACAACCAGAGCAGTCTTCTAAGCAGTGGTGGGTGGATCCCCTATTTTTAGAGCAACAATCAATAGTGCTGGGGGTGGTAGATGAGGGCAGGGAGTCAGCATACCCTGATATTGTTTAGGGGAGCCCGAAGGGGCAATGAGAGGTCTTCCAGGAGGAACCCCAAAGCCCAGCATGGGAAGGAGCTCAAAGCATGTGAAAAACTGCGCTTCGGTGACATAGAACCTTGCGTGGGTCTGAAGAATTCCTTCTCAGCCCTGCCCCAAAGGGAAAGGGTAACCTAAGACAGCAAAAAGAGGCTTGTGGGGTGTCCTGTCCCTCGTTATTTTTAAGCGTGTCCTGCTGCAGGTTTCACTGGGAGGCCTGTTGCTCTCCATCAGAGGAGAGACAGCACGATTATCTGTAACAGGGCCACCCTGATGGTGCCACCTCACGCAGCAGGATAACCCAGCCAACGGCCTAATGGGACATTCTTCTGGGAGTCACCGTTCCACATTAGCATCTAGGCTGTCACTCTTTACTTGGGGCCAAGGGGCCATGGAGAAGTGAGGTGGTTTATCCCACTCCTCTGAGCCAATCCTTCCAATTTGTTAAGATGGCTGAGTTGCCTTTTTATTCAGAATAAATTACGCTTTTGGCCTGATAAGTAATCTTGTCCCTAATATTGCCCTCACAGTTCTATTTTCTGTATTATTCATGGAATGTTTCTTTCCGATATTATGCAAACAGAGCAATGAAAGAGAATCCTCTTACAGAAATCCTCCCCACCCTCTGCTTAACACCCACCTCCCAACCTGGTACTGTTCTATGGACTCAAATGAAGATTTGCCTCTGTGAAAAGTTATTACACGATTTCCCTAAAAAAGGAGGAGGAGGAGGAAAACTAAACATTCTTCTTTCAAGTCATTTCTGTTAATCCTCGAAAAGTTAAAATAAACCAGCAACATTTATGCCGGGACAATCTCCTTTTTCTTGAGGGCAGTGGTGGGGATTTATTGGGAAGCTCTGTCAAGGTAGAGAGTGATACAGACAGAAAATAAGGGAACTAGTTTGAAAAAAGTTGTGTTTTTTTTTTTGAGTTGGAGTCTCACTCTGTCACCCAGACTGGAGTGCAGTGGCGATCCTTCCGCCTCAGGGTTCCAAGTGACTGGAACTACAGGCGCACACTACCACACCCGGCTTATTTTTTTGATTTATTGTAGAGATGAAGTCTTGCCAACTTGCCCAGGCAGGTCTCGAACCCACGGGCTCAGGCAATTCACTCACCTTGGCCTCCCAAGGCGCAGGGTTACAGGCTGAGCCACCAAGCCCGGCCTGAAAAAAGTTTTATTGACTCACAATTTCAATGGCCTATTTTAAAGATAAAAAAATAATAAAATGGAAAAATTTTGTATTGACCTATCATTTCTCCCTTGTCATTTTTTAAAAAATAACTGATGTCTTTTTAGAGAAACAGCTTCATATCTTTGCAGAAAGACTTCCATCTGTGCTTGTTAAGGATTGGATTTGTGTTTTAATCCCCAAAGCTTCCTCTTTTTCGGAGTTCCCATTCTCACCACATGGGTTTGAATAATTAAGTGAAAATGCATGGATCAAAGGCTTGATTTTCTGAAGACTTGGGTCCATTCTAAAATGAACAGGAGGTCAGACCTGGTGGCTCACGCCTGTAATCCCAGCATTTTGGGAGACCCAAGGTGAGAGGATTGCTTGAGCCCATGAGTTTGAGATTAGCCTAGGCAACATAGCGAGACCTTGCCTCTACAAAGAAGAAGAAAAAAAAATCAAAAAATTAGCTGGACGTGATGGCATGTGCCTGTAGTCTCAGCTACTCAAGAGGCTGAGGCAAAAGGATCACCTGAGCCTGGGTAAACTGATTTTGCCACTGTATTCTAGCCTGGGCTATGGCGTGAGACCCTGACTCAAAAAAAAGTTTTTTTAAAATAAATAAAACGAATGGGAAAACTCAAAGACTGTAGAGGAAGTAAAACAGTCTTCAAATAACGGAAATGTTTTTAAAGAACAAATTTTGGAATGATAAAATAGTGCTGGCCTTAACTCGAAATTATGGTTGACATGGTGTTTCCTGTATTTACATATCTATCCATGCTTTTGAAACCTTGAAAGAAATGTGACTACCTCACAAAAATTAAAAAAATTATATATATATGTCACTATAAAACTGCCCGGCTCTCATACATCAGCCTTATTAAAACAGACCTTCGATGTGATATTTTAGTGTTTGTAAAACCCTGCTAACTACAAAATGGATGACTTTCCTACTAAGAGCTTTTTTATGTTTTGCTGAATAGCTTTTTTTTCCTGCCAAAAAACCTACATATGATAAATACAGCACTAAATGGATATATTTTGTGTGGAAGGGCCGAGTCGTCTGGCTCTCTAAAAATGCACGTTACTCTGTTCAGGGTGTTTTGCTGAGTATGGGAAATTAAGCATTTTAAAATAAGATGCTTTGGGTTTCAGGGTTCACGTTATGTCAACAAACATAATACACTGTCTTCTCTTTCTATTTCGAAAGTGAAAGGATTGGGTATCGTACCTCCAAACAGTACCATCGATATTTTTATGGTTGTGTTTTTTCTGGCAGCAATCTCAGATATCACATTTTTATAAGTCTCCTAGATAGCTATTTCATATATATCTATATTTATTTGAAAATGTACATTAGTTACCTAGATTCTATATAACATATACAACACTGGTAAAGAAATTTGACACAAGGATACTTAAAAATGTATACAGCAGTTACCCGGGGCATTTTTTTTCCTTCTTCAAATATAAGTAAAATAATTGCATTAACCAAATAAATAAAAACAAACAATAAAAACGCCATTGAATAAGCATGCATTGAAAAAGATTCCTTTCTCAACTCTACCTCATCCAAATAGATTTAAATTTGCATGTAGGCTTTATGTGTGTGCATACATGTAGGTAGCCAAAACTTCATTTGGGGCCAGAAACTTGTCCCTGTCTCTCAACACTTGGTCCCTGAGCCGAGGAAACAACTTGCATTTTATGGTTGTTTCTGCTTTTTTTTTTTTGTACAAAAGTTTGACAGCCACAATCACTTGTTTACTAGTTTAAAAGCAAAATAAATAATAATAAAAGGCTAATAAACTCTGCCATATGAAGTAGATTCCTTATCCAAACACTTGTAAAACATAGTTTAACAAAAACCTTTACATGGAGATAGGTTTATGACACATAATCATTTTATACCCTCAAATACATCATTAAGATAGTTATTTAGAGCATTAGACCAAAACCAAAACAAAACAATACCACTTTGCTGTGAATTTTCACACAATTATGTCAGACCCAGAGGTTTATGTACCCTATAATCTTTTTTTTTTTTTTGAGTTGGAGTCTCACTGTCGCCCAGACTGAGTGTAGTGGCACGCTCCCAGCCCCCACAGCCTCCACCTGCTGGGCTCTGCCGATCCTTCCACCTCAGCCCCCAAGTAGCTGGAACTACAGGCCCGCTGTAGCCACCAGGCCCGGCTAATTTTTTTTTTTTGATTTATTGTAGAGATGAGGTCT